CCGTGGACGGGGCTCACCTGGCCAGGCCCTCCCGGGCCATCTCTGCTTGGCAGGAACTGCTCCCATGACAAGGTGGTGTCCATGCTGCAGGGCAGTGGCGCGATGCCCACCCTGGTGGTAGAGGAGGGGCTCGTCCCGTTCCCCAGCGGTGAGACCCCCCACTCCACAGAGACCCTGAGGGCCCCCCTGTGCTTACCCCCCAAACCCACAGCGTCCCCCCCTTGGTGCTGTGGACCCCAGTGGGACCGTCTCAGGCACCTGCCTGGCTCTCCCTCCATCCCCAGCTGCGGCCGCAGATGTGCCTCCCAATGCAGGGTGCCCACAGCCACACCCAGACAGGAGGGCCCCCGGGCCTGGGGACGCCTGGTCACCTGGGCCTCTCCTGCCTGTGACCCTGCAGACTCCGATTCTTTGGATTCCTCCAGCCCGTCGGCGGCGCTCACCTCCCTGCAGTGGGTGGCGGACATCCTGCCGGCCAGCATCCGCGTGCAAGGGAGGACCTTCAGCCAGCAGCTGGAGCGCCTGCTCACGCCTCCCGAGCGCTACGGGGTCTGCCGGGCCCTCGAGAGCTTCTTCCAACACAGGTGGCCAGGCCGGAGCAGGGGCGGGGACCTGCCCTGGGTGGGCCCCAAATCCTGCCCCGACTCACCGTTGGGGTCCACCTGCTCAGCCTCCTCGCTCCCTTCTCCTGGGGAGGCTCAAAGAAAGCAGCAGCTGGAACCAGGGGTCCCCAGGTGGGGACAGTTGGGCTGCCCCAGAGCAAACTCTGCCTCTGGAACCTCCTAGCCCCTGAGCTGCGCAAGTGACAGCCTGGTCTGCCACGTGAAGGAGACTGTGGTCACCTGCAGCGTTGATGGTGGGACCCTCACAGGGATGGTGCCTCCAGGGTCAGCAAGGCCCCAAGATGCCCAGCGCCCGGGGCCCGCGTTGGGGGTGGTTGGGTATCTTTCTTTTTCTTTTTGCACTTCAGGGGCAGCAGGCTGCGTTATCACACTCCTCAGCCACGGTCTGTGCAAAGCTCCTCACTTGTTCATCCTTTTCCTCTTTTTGTTTAAAGAGTTGTATGGAGACATATTTCACGTGCCGTGCAATTCCTCCATCTGAGTGTGACTTCAGTGCACTGGTTTTTAGTATATTCACACTAAACACACTCAATTTTAGAACATGTTCATCACCTCGAAAAGAACCCTGCACGCTTTCACCGTCGCCCGCCTTCTCTGCTCCTGCTCATCGGGCACAACCATGAACCCACTTTCTGTCTCTATAATTTCTTCTTTTTAAATGTATTTTTATTGATTTCGGAAAGGAAGGGAGAGGGAGAGAGGGATAGAAGCATCAACGATGAGAGAAAACCATTGATCGGCTGCCTCTTGCACACCCCACACTGGGGATCAAGCCGGCAACCCAGGCATGTGCCCTGACCCGGAATCAAACCGTGACCCGGTTCATAGATCGACACTCATCCACTGAGCCACACCAGCTGGGCTGTTTCTATTCGACACTCAACCACTGAGCCACACCAGCTGGGCTGTCTCTATAATTTCTTTTTAAAAAAATATATTTTATTGATTTTTTACAGAGAGGAAGGGAGAGGGATAGAGAGTTAGAAACATCGATGAGAGAGAAACATCGATCAGCTGCCTCCTGCACATCTCCTACTGGGGATGTGTCCGCAACCCAGGTACATGCCCTTGACCGGAATCGAACCTGGGACCTTTCAGTCCGCAGGCCGACGCCCCATCCACTGAGCCAAACCGGTTTTGGCTAATTTCCGCAACCAAGGTACATGCCCTTGACCGGAATCGAACCTGGGACCCTTCAGTCCGCAGGCTGACGCTCTATCCACTGAGCCAAACCGGTTAGGGCTGTCTCTATCGTTTCCCTGTTCATTTTACATGAACAGAATGGTACAATATATGGATTTTTGTGTCTACTTCTTTCCCTTAGAGCAGTGGTTCTCAACCTTCCTAATGCTGCGACCCTTTAATACAGTTCCTCATGTTGTGGTGACCCCCCAACCATAAAATTATTTTCGTTGCTATTTCATAACTGTAATTTTGCTACTGTTATGAATCGTAATGAAAATATCTGATATGCAGGATGTATTTTCATTGTTACAAATTGAACATAATTAAAGCCTAGTGATTCATTACAAAAACAATATGTAATTATATATGTGTTTTCCGATGGTCTTAGGCGACCCCTGTGAAAGGGTCGTTCGACCCCCAGGTTGAGAACCGCTGCCTTAGAGGGTTGTCAACGTTCATCCAAGTTATAGCATCAAGTAGCATCGTTTCTTTTTTATGGCTGAGAATATTCCATTGCATGGACAGAACACATTATGTTGGTCCCCCCTCAGTTGATGGACCTGTGGGTGCTTCCGCCTTTCATTTCCTTTTGGCCCCACCCCCTCTCCCTCGCCCCTCCCGGCGTTTACTGGGCACCGCTTCGTCTGAAGGTGTTCTTGAACAGTGGGCATTGCTGTTCCGCGTGGTGTTTTTATTTCACATCATCATGTGCTCTGTGCTGCATTCTGTGTCTGGCAGTTCTCCCACCAAGTGCCCTGTCTCTGGATCTGTCCACGTGGCTCTGCGGACATTGAACGCCCTGTTTCCACTGCAGCCACATTCCCTGGGCCCACAGCCACTGTCTCCTCTCTTTACCTCTCCTGCGGCGGACACGGGGCCGCCTCCCGCGGCTCCAGCGCAATAACACTGTGCTGAACGTCACTGTGCTCATCCCCGGGGAGCTGTGTACCATTCATTGAAATTTATGTCTGAGAGGAAATTGCCGGATGCTAAGGTATTTGTTTACTGAGCTGGACAAGGCTGTGCCGAACTGCTTCCCCGAGCTCTGGTTTTACCCGCACCAGCGGTGCAGGAGGGCTCCCCCAGCCCCGGGTCCTCGCCGCCATATGGCACTATCCAGCTTTCTATTTTTGCTAGTCTTTTTGGCCATAAAGTCACATCTTATTTGGTTTTTATTTAAAAATATTTTTTTATTGATTTCGGAGAGGAAGGGAGAGGAAGAAAGAGAGAAACATCAATGATGAGAGAGAATCATGGATCAGCTGCCTCCTGCACGCCCCACACTGGGGATCGAGCCCGCAACCTGGGCATGTGCCCTGCCCGGGAATCAAACTATGACCTCCTGGTTCATAGGTCAACACTCAGCCACTGAGCCACGCCAGCCTGGCAAGGGTTTTTAATTACTAATTATTTTAGACATCCGTTAATATCCTCGTTAACTTTTTTCATTTTCTTTTCCATAAGTTACCCGTTCAGACCTGCTGTCCATTTTTGGTTTGTTGGGCTTTTTGTTCTTGTGGATTTGCAGGAGTTCCGTGTATACGTGAGGCACTGGTTCCTTGTTGGTTTTGAATATTGTCACTATCTCCTCCCATTTGCCACTTCTGTTAGTATTGACATTTTACGAAGTCCTTCCTTGCCTCTAGTGGTTCTCAACCTTCCTAATGCCACGGTCCTTTAATACAGTTCCTCATGTGGTGACCCCCAACCATAAAATTATTTTCGTTGCTACTTCATAACTGTAATGTTGCTACTGTTATGAATCATAATGTAAATATCTGATATGCAGGATGTATTTTCAGGGGTCGTGACCCACAGGTTGAGAACCGCTGCAGCTCAAGAGATGGTTTCCTGCTTTCTCTTCTGCTAAGTTTATAATTGTATCTTCACGCTTCGGTTTTCATCCACCTAGAGTTCATCTTTATGCCAGGTCCTGTGTGAGGACACAGTTTTACTTTTTCCTCATAATGCAGAGGTCAGCACACTATTTCTGTGAGGGGCTGGAGAGTCAATATTTCAGGCTTTTGGGGCCATACAGTCTCCATTGAAACTATTCAACTCCACTGTTGTAGCTTGAAAACAGCCATAGGCAATCTATAAGCAAACAAGCAGGCCTTGTTCCAATAAAACTTTCTTCACAAACACAGATTTGGGCCCAGAGGCCGTCATTTGCTGATCCCCGGCACAGTGCTCGGCTTTCCCAATACACGCCATGCATTCCAATCTTCACAACAGCTCTGGGCAGTAGATGTCATTTTTACCCCCATTTCACAGATGAGGAAACTGAGGCAGAGAGCTAAGTAACCTGAGAAAGGTCACTTGGCTTGTACGTGGTGGAGGCAGGACTTGAATCTGGGCAGTTGTCCCCAGGGCCTGCCTTCCTGCCCAGCTCTCTGTCTTGGCAGTGGGAAGGGGGGCAGGGCAGGAGCCCGAACTCTGTGGCCTGGAAGTGCCCCCCTTATCCGTCCCCACCCCATTCCCTAAGGTGAGGCCCTGAGTAGTGAACCCCTGGCTCCTGCGCCTCCCCCAGGAACATCGACACCCTCATCGTCGACGTCTACCCGGTGCTGGACACGCCCGCCAAGCAGGTGCTCTGGCAGTTCGTCTACCAGCTGCTGACTTACGAGGAGCAGGAGCTCTGCCATGAGAAGATCGCGTGTTTCCTGGGCTACACGGCCATGACCGGTGAGCAGCCCTCCCCCAGCCCACCCCCTTGCCCCCCCAGGTGAGCAGCCCTCCCCCCAGCCCCGCCCTCTGCCCC